GACCCCCCTCCCAGGCTAAAGGTAAGAAGGGAGGGGGGGGACATAATGCCTGTTTTTTTTATTTTATTTTTTTATTTACCCCCCCTACACACACACACAATAACATTTATACAGCACTCTCACACCCATCACACACAGCACTCTCACACCCATCACACTCACAGCACTCTCTCACACAGCACTTTCACACACAGCACTTTCACACACAGCACTCTCTCACACAGCACTCTCTCACAGAGCACTCTCACACAGAGCACTCTCACACAGAGCACTCTCTCACACAGCACTTTCACACACCCACAGCACTCTCTCACACAGCACTTTCACACACAGCACTCTCTCACAGAGCACTCTCTCACACAGCACTCTCACACCCATCTCACACAGGGCACTCTCACACACACAGCACTCTCTCACAGAGCACTCTCACACACACACAGCACTCTCACACCCATCACACCCAGCACTCTCACAGCACTCTCTCACAGCACTCTCACAGAGCACTCTCACACACACAGCATTCTCTCACACAGCACTCTCACACCCATCACACTCACAGCACTCTCACACACACACAGCACTCTCTCACACAGCACTCTCACACCCATCTCACACAGGGCACTCTCACACGGCACCCTCACACCCATCACTCACACCGCACCCTCACACACACACATACTGCACCCCTCACATACACACAGAACCCCCCCAACACACTGCACCACACACATACACAATACTTCCAAATATATATATATGTGTGTGTGTGTGTGTGTGTGTGTGTGTGTGTATATATATATATACACACACACACACACACACACACACACACACACACCACTCTTAAAGGACCACTCTAGCCACCCAGAACACTTCAGCTTAATGAAGTGGTCTTGGTGCCAGGTCCTTCTAGGGTTAACCCATTGTTTTATAAACATAGCAGTTTCAGAAAAACTGCTATGTTTATCAATGGGTTAAGCCTTCCCCCAAAACCTCTAGCAGCTGTCTCATTGACCGCCGCTAGAGGCACTTGCGTGCTTTGCACGCAAGCGTCCATAGGAAAGCATTATAAATGCTTTCCTATGCGACCGGCTGAATGCGAGCGCAGCTCTTGCTGCGCGTGCGCATTCAGCCGACGGGGCGGATTGGAGGAGGAGAGCTCCCCGCCCGGCGCTGGAAAAAGGTAAGTTTTAACCCCTTTCCAGAGCCGGGCGGGAGGGGGTCCCTGAGCCACATATGCATCACATTACACTTCAAACACAACACGACTAAAACCGACCTTATTACACAATACGACCAGCTCACTCTACACACACGCAATACCACAAGCAGGCTCCAAACACATGCACAATACTCTTTCCTGGCCTTTTGTCTCCTGGTATCCATTTATAGAGACACCAGAGACGAGTTGCAAGGAAAGACAGTGCAAGCATGTTATTAAATTTGCTTGCACTGTGCAGAACAAATACAGGACTTTTTTCTCATGCTAGAGCTCTTCAGCAGAGCTCTGTGCATGGTCTGCCCTGGAAGAGCATTGAACCAACATGCTCACTTTGAGAGGAGGCGTGTTTGTCATTGGTGATGACAAAACACACCTCCTATGCCCCGCCCCCTTTTTAGTGGGCCGCTGTGTTAAAAAAATGCCCGGGCCGAATTTTTCTCCCAGTCCGGCCCTGCCTCCACTGGCCACTCCTCAGATGGCTGCTAGAGGTGCTTCCTGGTGCAGTCCTGCCTAATGTGCAGCACTGCCATTTAGTGTCCCCACCCTCTGCATGCAGACACTGATCTTTCTTCATAGAGATGCATTGATTCAATTCATTTCTATGAGGATATGCCGATTGGCCAGGGCTGTGCTTGACTGGTGGTGGCTCTGCCCCGATCTGCCTCCTTGACAGTCTCAGCCAATCCTATGGGGAAGCACAGTGATTGGCTCAGACCACCACTTCTGCTGATGTCAGCAGAAAGGGACGGAGGTAGCAGCTGCAGACTTGAATACAAGTAAGATTTTACTATATTTAGGGAGGTCAGAGGGGGCTAGATAGTGGTTTTAATACTATTGGGTCAGAAATATATGCTTGTTTTCCTGACCCTACAGTGCTCCTTTAAGCTGTAAGAAGATGAACTAATGTTTTTAATTCTGGCCACTAGATGGCAATATTGAGTACTTGTACTAACTTGCCATATAAGAAATGTATCTCCTGTTAGCATTTATTGCCCACGGTGCTGGACGACGATTGAATGGGACTGAAGCCAGACTGTAGAGGATTACAGATCTGGGCTTGACGAAGGGGTGTTGGCACAGCCACAGCTGTGTGTTGGGTTCTGTAAGGCAGAATTAAAATGCATTACTGGAGCCATGGGAGACACAGCGAAACAATGTTTTTTAGAAATGATTTTTTGTAGAAAAATTGATGTAACAAAATGATGAATGATTTATCATTATGTTTGAAATGATTGCAAACCACAGGGCAAGTGTCTGTAAACACAGAGCCATTTCTCTCCTGTTCTACATCACGTATAAACACCTCCGTGGACTGAATATCTTCTCTTTGTTACTCTATCTTAAATTATATATAAAAAGGAAAGGCTAAGGAAATATGTATTTATCCCTCCGATAACAACAGCAGAAAGAAAAGGAGATTTAAAAAAAGAGCAATTGTCTTGGGCCACACATCAAATATATAAAATAGATAATCTATATAAGTAATACAACTTTAAAAAACCTTTTCCTAATTTTGATATTTCAGTTGTTTAGTAGATAACTACCTTATTTGTTATCCTTATGTGGGATTGGCATATTTAAGGATCCCAAATTATGGAGCTATCCACTAAACACATATGCACACATAACCACAGATACACACACATACCTAAACACACATAATCACAGACATAAACACAATTATACTATCACATACCTATACGCACGAAATCACAGGTACACACACACACAATCACAGATACACACACAATCACAAACCCACACACAGACCCCTCCCACACAATCAATCACTGACAAAACATACACAAAAATTACATTTATATGCATTTAGTACTTAAGAGACCCAGCCAACCTCACTACCTTGCTCTGAAAGGGCTGTCCCTGGTGACTGGGATCTCTGTGCTCCTCCTGCACAGGTCCCTCGCGCGCCCAGCAGTGATGCCGATGTCGAGATGACATCACATGCCAGTGGCCGGCTCACTGCAGGGCGCACAGGGAGCTGTCCAGGAGGAGCACAGTATGTAAAGGGTTCCCTGCCTCCCTCGCCGCTCTGCAGCAGCACTGCTCGTGGTCCCGGGCTGCTGGTTGGACACCACTGATATGGGATCTTATTATTTCTTAGTCTCTTTCTCTTAGATAACTTCATGTGATTCCATTCAAACGTTACAATGGTATATATGTGCTGGGAAGTGTTATATAAATATTACTGCTATTGATTTTATTTATTTAGCTCCAGCAAATCCTGCAGAACGAGTACAGTAACTAATGAGTATATTACAAAACTTGAAATAGCAGAGACAGACTGAAAGAGCTGGTGATTATAGTTCTGCCTCCAAAGATTGTGTTATTTCTGTCACACTCCCAGAATGCCATGCAGCGTTCATTAAATGGAACATAGCTTTGTGTTGAGTGAGCATTTCCGAATGAAAATGGCTGCGTGTGTTAAGAGATTAGAGGGTACAGCTAAGAAATTGTTTAGAGTGGGAGCACCCAACTGTGTGTGTGTGTTATTGCTGTGTGTGTTGATGTGGCTTTGTATGTGTTTATGGTTGTGTATCGGTATGGCTGTGTGTGTTGATGTGTCTTTGTATGTGTTTATGGTTGTGTATCGGTATGGCTGTGTGTGTTGATGTGGCTTTGGATGTGTTTATGGTTGTGTATCGGTATGGCTGTGTGTGTTGATGTGGCTTTGGATGTGTTTATGGTTGTGTATCGGTATGGCTGTGTGTGTTGATGTGTCTTTGTATGTGTTTATGGTTGTGTATCGGTATGGCTGTGTGTGTTGATGTGACTTTGTATGTGTTTATGGTTGTGTATCGGTATGGCTGTGTGTGTTGATGTGGCTTTGTATGTGTTTATGGTTGTGTATCGGTATGGCTGTGTGTGTTGATGTGGCTTTGTATGTGTTTATGGTTGTGTATCGGTATGGCTGTGTGTGTTGATGTGGCTTTGTATGTGTTTATGGTTGTGTATCGGTATGGCTGTGTATGTAGATGTGACTTTGTATGTGTTTATGGTTGTGTATCGGTATGGCTGTGTGTGTTGATGTGGCTTTGTATGTGTTTATGATTGTGTATCGGTATGGCTGTGTGTGTTGATGTGGCTTTGTATGTGTTTATGGTTGTGTATCGGTATGGCTGTGTGTGTTGATGTGGCTTTGTATGTGTTATGGTTGTGTATCGGTATGGCTGTGTGTGTTGATGTGGCTTTGGATGTGTTTATGGTTGTGTATCGGTATGGCTGTGTGTGTTGATGTGTCTTTGTATGTGTTTATGGTTGTGTATCGGTATGGCTGTGTGTGTTGATGTGACTTTGTATGTGTTTATGGTTGTGTATCGGTATGGCTGTGTGTGTTGATGTGGCTCTGTATGTGTTTATGGTTGTGTATCGGTATGGCTGTGTGTGTTGATGTGGCTTTGTATGTGTTTATGGTTGTGTATCGGTATGGCTGTGTGTGTTGATGTGGCTTTGTATGTGTTTATGGTTGTGTATCGGTATGGCTGTGTATGTAGATGTGACTTTGTATGTGTTTATGGTTGTGTATCGGTATGGCTGTGTGTGTTGATGTGGCTTTGTATGTGTTTATGGTTGTGTATTGGTATGGCTGTGTGTGTTGATGTGTCTTTGGATGTGTTTATGGTTGTGTATCGGTATGGCTGTGTGTGTTGATGTGGCTTTGTATGTGTTTATGGTTGTGTATCGGTATGGCTGTGTGTGTTGATGTGACTTTGGATGTGTTTATGGTTGTGTATTGGTATGGCTGTGTGTGTTGATGTGGCTTTGGATGTATTTATGGTTGTGTATCGGTATGGCTGTGTGTGTTGATGTGGCTTTGGATGTGTTTATGGATGTGTATTGGTATGGCTGTGTATGTAGATGTGGCTTTGTATGTGTTTATGGTTGTGTATCGGTATGGCTGTGTGTGTTGATGTGGCTTTGTATGTGTTTATGGTTGTGTATCGGTATGGCTGTGTGTGTTGATGTGGCTTTGTATGTGTTTATGGTTGTGTATCGGTATGGCTGTGTATGTAGATGTGACTTTGTATGTGTTTATGGTTGTGTATCGGTATGGCTGTGTGTGTTGATGTGACTTTGTATGTGTTTATGGTTGTGTATCGGTATGGCTGTGTGTGTTGATGTGGCTTTGTATGTACCGGTATTTATAGTTGTGTATCGGTATGTGTGTAAGGAGGTGGATATTGTGGGTGTGGCTGTTTGCATGGTTTTGGTCATGTATTGCGGCATGTGTGTGGACATGGCTGTGTTTGTTGAGAGGTAGGTGTTGTGGCAGGGTACTGCTTTGTGTTTGATTACACAATGTGTTTTTCTGTCCTTTTCCAGTGACAGTCTAACCCGCCACTGGTCTGCATCTTTGTAAATGAACGTTATTGGAGGTCAGTGGGTAAAAACTACCACAATTTTGGAAATTAGTAGGCAATTGGCCATCACAACTAGCTACACTTACCTATCGACAAGGTAGGAAATGAGCCTTTTGTTTTTTTCTTTTCCTTTTAATTTTTTTTCCAAAATGCAGACTGTAGGTTTATTTTGCTCTCTACCACATGCGTTCTGATGGTTAGAAACAGATAATTTACTCTGTGTAATACCAGATAATAACAGATAATTATAGAAATCGGTGGCTCTAGCAGCAGGTAGTGCAGAGGTCAGGACTGCAGACAAGGTTTACGTGGAGTCTGTTTGCTACGTATGTACCTTTGATTTCAGACAGGTTTGGATAAAATGCTGCATTGTTAGTGAGACCTCAGCTAACCTCATTCACTAATTAAAAGAAAAAAACAAAAAAACAAACACTAATTAAGAAAAGTGACATTTAAAATATTGCTATGAGAAGCAGGGCCAGAGGATGTAGCTTCCAAGATTCTATATTACAAATTACATTTATTGGACAGCTAAACCACTGCCACCTCGGCCAGCAGTTATTTTATTTTGTTTTCCTTGTTAAATGGAAGTGATATTAAGCATGGCCGGAGTCAATGTATAAGGCTTGACCATTACAGAACTCTACAGCAATCTATCAGCTTTTGAATTCAAGAAGTAGGTTAGGGGTTTAGTGTCCGGATGATAAGAGTCGAGGGAGTTTAGGGTCAGGAAAGGCAGGGTCCAGGGGTTTAGTGTCCGGATAATCAGAGTCAGGTTGGTTTACAGTCAGGCTAATCAGAGTGTGGGGGTTTCAGGATAATCAGAGTTGGTGGGGTATAGGGTCAGGATAATTAGAGTGGGGGGTTTAGTTTCAGGATAATCAGAGTCGGGGGGTTTAGGGTCATTATAATTAGGGTTGTGGGTTTGGGTTAGAATAATCAGGAATGGGAGAATTAGGGTTAGGGATCTTAGGGTCAGAAGAATTAGGATTGGGTAAATCAGCAATGGAGATTTTAGGTTAGATGAATTAGTTAGGAAAATTGGGAGTTTTGTTAGAATTAAAAATAAAGGAAAACAGTCAACATGAAAAATTCTTCTTCTTCAATTGCTGGAAATTCCAGGTAAAAAAGGAATAGGGGACCCAAAAAAATAAAAGTAGAAGAAAATAAACAGTTTTCTTTGTCTTCTAAGAAAGCAACGGAGGGATGGCAAGAACCTGCCTTCTGTGAGAATTACGGTCTATTCCTACAGTAAACAGAGTCCTGGTTACAAAACGGTGATTCCGAAACCAGTGGATATTACTCCTATAACTGAAATGCTGACCCAGAAATTTTATTTTTGGCTTGGATGGCAGACTTGCCGTAAAACAGGTGTGTCCAAACGTTTTTCAAAGAGGGCCAGATTTGATGAAGTGAACATGCGTGAGGGCCAACCATTTTGCCTGACATTCTTTAAACTATTAAAATTGAATTCAAATGAATTATTTTATGCAAAGTTTATTGCAAACGGCATACTTTTCATTTCATCTCTTTATTCCGTCTCTTCTCTCTTTATTCTATCCCTCTTTATTCCGTCTCTTCTCTCTTTATTCTATCCCTCTTTATTCTGTCTCTCCTTATTTTGTACCTTTTTATTCTGTCCATTCTCTCTTTCTGTCCCAGCAAGGAGGACGAACCAGATCGCACAAACCAAATCCTGCTAATCCTGTGATGTCCAAGAGATCGCGAGAACGCAGACTGAGGTCACTGCACGTCCGTCTGCGTTCCCGCGATCTCTTGGCCCCCAGTGAATCCACGAGTGCCGCTCAGGACCGCGGCGTTCAAAGATCCCAGGGGTCCTGAGCGGCGCTTGGGGATTCACTGGGGGCCACAACAGATAGATTTGCCAAATTAACTGTGGGGCTGTATTAAACCGGAACATGGGCTGGAATTTGGACATGACTGCCGTAAAACAACAGAGAAACCTTTAATGAAGACGGCTCGGGCAAAGCTGCCCATTAAATGTCTGCTTTGAGAAAGAATGGACTGAAATGATCCACGTGGGCTGGAAGTACCACAATATACCGCTTACCACTTTACTCTGAGCCTCAAGAAATATTTCAATATTATTTCACAAATTAATGTAAAAAAAGCCACACAGATAATTTTTTCCAACGCAGTTTCGTTTTCGTTGCTAGCGCTAGGTGCTATCATTCTGTGTAAGTTGTGCCTCTATCGCCACAATACGAAGGAGCTGAGCTGTCCTCTCATGGCTCTTCTGCATATTTTGGGAAAATGTCCTTTATTTGGGAATTGAATCCCTAACCATAAAACAGCATTTACCCAAACCCATCATTACCTTACCCCAACCTCACAATAACCCTACAGATATCCCTACTCCTACCCTAACTCTAGCATACACTACCACTACACCTAATGCTACCACTACACCTACCCCTACCACTACACCTAATGCTACCATTAACCCTACCACTACACCTAATGCTACCACTACACCTAACCGTACCACTAACCTTACCACTACACCTAACCCTACCACTACACCTAACCATACCACTAACCCTACCACTACACCTAACTGTACCATTATTCCTACCACTACACCTAACCCTACCACTACACCTAACCATACCACTAACCCTACCACTACACCTAACTGTACCACTAACCCTACCACTACACCTAACCCTACCACTACACCTAACCATACCACTAACCCTACCACTACACCTAACTGTACCATTATTCCTACCACTACACCTAACCCTACCACTACACCTAACCATACCACTAACCCTACCACTACACTTAACTGTACCACTAACCCTACCACTACACCTAACCGTACGACTAACCCTACCACTACACCTAATCATACCACTACACCTAATCCTACTATGAACCCTACCACAACACCTAACTGTACCACTAACTCTACCACTACACCTAACCCTACCACTACACCTAACCATACCACTAACCCTACCACTACACCTAACCCTACCACTACACCTAACCATACCACTAACCCTACCACTACACCTAATGCTACCACTACACCTAATCCTAGTACTTACCCTAATCCTACTACTAACCCTACCACTACACCTAACCCTACCATTACACCTAACTGTACCACTAACCCTACCACTACACCTAACCCTAACACTACACCTAACCATACCACTACACCTAACTGTACCACTAACCCTACCACTACACCTAACCGTACTACAAACCCTACCACTATACCTAACTGTACCACTAACCCTACTACTACACCTAACCATACCACTAACCCTACCACTATACCTAACTGTACCACTAACCCTACTACTACACCTAACCATACCACTAACCCTACTACTACACCTAACTGTACCACTAACCCTACCACTACACCTAACCGTACCACTAACCCGACCACTATACCTAACCCTACCATTACACCTAATCCTACCACTACACCTAATCCTACTATGAACCCTACCACAACACCTAACTGTACCACTAACTCTACCTCTACACCTAACCCTACCACTACACCTAACCATACCACTAACCCTACCACTACACCTAACCCTACCACTACACCTAACTGTACCACTAACCCTACCACTACACCTAACCGTACCACTAACCCTACCACTATACCTAACCCTACCATTACACCTAATCCTACCACTACACCTAATCCTACTATGAACCCTACCACAACACCTAACTGTACCACTAACTCTACCTCTACACCTAACCCTACCACTACACCTAACCCTACCACTAACCCTACCACTACACCTAACCCTACCACTACACCTAACCATACCACTAACCCTACCACTACACCTAACTGTGCCACTATTCCTACCACTACACCTAACCCTACCACTACATCTAACCCTACCATTAACCCTACCACTACACCTAACTGTACCACTAACCCTACCACTACACCTAACCGTACCACTAACCCTACCACTATACCTAACCCTACCATTACACCTAATCCTACCACTACACCTAATCCTACTATGAACCCTACCACAACACCTAACTGTACCACTAACTCTACCTCTACACCTAACCCTACCACTACACCTAACCATACCACTAACCCTACCACTACACCTAACCATACCACTAACCCTACCACTACACCTAACTGTGCCACTATTCCTACCACTACACCTAACCCTACCACTACATCTAACCCTACCATTAACCCTACCACTACACCTAATCCTACCACTACACCTAACCCTAAGGAAACCCTCAGCTAATTTCAGTGCTTATCTCAGTATGAGTACAGGCACATGTTTGTGTGATAATTAAGCATGCTTTACCAGCTAATTACACTGTGAGCACCGATGTCAGTCGGCTTGGGGCACGCAGTGTGTACCTGTCAGGGTCTGTTGAGTCCTCGAGGGTCTCACTTCACCAGCCTATAGCCTGAGAATCACTGTGACTTAGCCGTGTTTTCAATGGATGTAAAGGGCTGTAGTGTTGGCTTTTCAGCTCTCCATACAGCTCATCAATCAGTCTGGTTCCACTAAACATGTTCCCAGCTGACAGAGGGGAGCCCTTGGTATCTATTGATACCTGGGTCTCCTGGTGCGAGCTGGGATTTAACCCTGCTGGCACTAAATCAAATTTTTTCAAGAGTTGAGTCAGTTCAAATATTATTATTTTATTTATTTATTTGGCGCAGGAGGGATAAAACCATAGTAGTACATGCAAAGCGATAGGAGTGTCGGATAGGCGGGTCAGAGATCGATTGGCAGAAATAGGTGCCGTGCAGGACTGTCAAAGAACAAGTTAAAATCAGGGGAGAAAAAAAGAATACCTGTCTGTTTGTTAGTAATTTTTCATACAGCTATGACTGCCATTTACTGTGATTATTTCTATAAGATATGTACACTTGCTGTCCTGTATTGAGTGGCTCACATTTTCAGTTTTTCCGATCACGTTGCAGTTGTATAATTTGCTTGTGGTGTGATCTATGTCACTGTGTCTGCGCAGCCATTCATTCCGTGCTAATCACACACCTGCTGCTGCTGCTTTAACTTTGTTAGAAAACAGATTCCAGTGTTTCAGCTCCACCGCATTACAGTCAGGAATGCAAATTCATTTCAATATTGTAATCTAAACTAGCTAATCTGAAAATATAGCTGATTTGGGCAATCTCTCCAATCTGGCAGTTTTACCCTGATACTTAAAATTGACTTTAAATTCATTTGCAACAATTCCCACCTTAGTGAATAGCCCTGTGCGTGTTTTCTGTGAGATCAACACAGATTGCTCATTAACTCTCCGAGATACTGAACGCTGTGACACTCTGAGGCTAACAACCAATTGGTTTAGTTACTGTTGTATATTTTTTGTGAAATAACAAACGGGATGCTGCGTAGTGCTCAGGTAGTGTGGGCGTTTCCCAGAGGTGGAGGCAGCAGGTGTGAGCGTACTACTCAGGTAGCAGGGGAGTTTCCCATAGGTGGAGTGAGCAGGTGTGAGCGTGCGGCTCAGGTAGTGTGAGAGTTTCCCATAGGTGGAGTGAGCAGGTGTGAGCGTGCGGCTCAGGTAGTGTGGAAGTTTCCCATAGGTGGAGTGAGCAGGTGTGAGCGTGCGGCTCAGGTAGTGTGGGAGTTTCCCATAGGTGGAGTGAGCAGGTGTGAGCGTGCGGCTCAGGTAGTGTGAGAGTTTCCCAGAGGTGGAGTGAGCAGGTGTGAGCGTGCGGCTCAGGTAGTGTGGGAGTTTCCCATAGGTGGAGTGAGCAGGTGTGAGCGTGCGGCTCAGGTAGTGTGAGAGTTTCCCAGAGGTGGAGTGAGCAGGTGTGAGCGTGCGGCTCAGGTAGTGTGGGAGTTTCCTAGAGGTGGAGGCAGCAGGTGTGAGCGTACTACTCAGGTAGCAGGGGAGTCTCCCAGAGGTAGAGCGAGCAGGTGTGAGCGTGCGGCTCAGGTAGTGTGAGAGTTTCCCAGAGGTGGGGGCAGCCGGTGTGAGCGTACTACTCAGGTAGCAGGGGAGTCTCCCAGAGGTGAGGGCAACAGGTGTGAATGTACTGCTCAGGTAGTGTGGGAGTTTCCCAGAGGTGGAGGCAGCAGGTGATAGCGTGCTGCTCAGGTAGTGTGAGAGTTTCCCAGAGGTGGAAAGAGCATGTATGAGCGTGCTGCTCAGGTAGTGTGGGAGTTTCCCAGAGGTGAAGCGCACAGGTGATAGCATACTTCTCAGGTAGTGTGGGAGTTACTCAGAGTTGGGGGCAGCCGGTGTGAATGTACTGCTCAGGTAGTGTGGGCGTTTCCCAGAGGTGGAGTGAGCAGATTTAAGTGGCTGCTCAGGTAGTGTGGGAGTTTTCCAGAGGTGGAGTGAGCAGATTTAAGTGGCTGCTCAGATAGTGTGGGAGTTTCCCAGAGGTGGAGCGAGCAGGTGTGAGCGTGGGGGAGCCTAGACTCAGGTGGCTGTCTTATTGGGTTCTTGATAAGCACAATAATCAGCATTGAACAATGAACCCCAACTTTTGGATAGAGACCTGAGCCAAGGTCATAATACTAAGTCCATTCTCTGGTGACATCTAAAGGACAACAAAGCATGTACAAATAAGATAAAGGCATAATGAACTCTGGGTAACTGGATAACAGGATCTGCCATGGAATCTGGCTGGAGAAAAAAAAATTAAGGAATCAGGTCAAAAAGATATATTCATGAGGAAAAACACGAAAAGTCTGCAATATAATATATTCACTTCCATGCTTTCATTGTCCAACTTTTCAATTGTTAGTAAGTGTAGCATGGGAAATGGATGATGTTATAATAATTACATAGATTTAAAAAAATTAATAGCACTGAAAATCGGCCAATTTGCAGCTAGATTCGTTATAATCTTACATAATTTTCTTTGATTCAATCCTCTTGGCAGAAGATGTGAAACCATGTTTTATACAATTTATCTTGACGGTTTATGTCTTTTCATTGGAATAGGAGTAAAGGTGCCAAGACAATACAATGGAAGAGCTGGCCTAGAGGAGAAAATAATTAATTCTTGCCAGAAGGTTTCTTTTGATTTGAACATTAATTTGTGTTAAAATAACATCTTGTCAGGTCTTTGTCTGAGTGTGATGTAATATAGCCGCTTAAGAAGCAAATGGAGCAGAGTTGGTAATTGCTACCAAGGCTCTGTGAATGCTGGATCTTACGCACAGCTTATTGATCATTTACAACTATTTAGAAAAATACACCTTACAAAGCAGGACTGTCCAGCCTTGGCTCTCCAGCTGTTCTTTGTTTTGTATATAGGTCCCAGAATTCCCTGCCAGTCAAAACTTTCTCCCATTCCAGAAGTCCATACGGAATTGGTCCTTCTACACACTGGAAGGCAATATCCATCCACAGCCTTAGTCCAGAGATCTACCATGTAAGATGGATGGGCGCCGGGCACCTCAGATCTTTCTGTTTCCCGTGATAACAGAAAGTTTGGTTCAGACATATCCAGGCTGTCAGTCTTAAACATCAGCTGATTACAGCTTTGGTCGGTAGAGAACTGGACTGTTGGCAAAATAATGTAATTGGGGTTAATCGTCGTGCAAATCGGTGGAAACAGATGGAACATTCTATTAGCTTCCATAGAACTATCTGCTCATTTTGAACCTTCCCCCACAGTCATTACATCACCCTCATTAATGTCTGCAGTTTCATAAACATAGACTAATTCTAGAAAATAAAACAGATACAAATTTAGCAGGGAAAAGTGCGGGGGTACTCCTGGCACCATAACTACTACCATGGACTGTAATGGTTATGCTGGATGGAGTAACCCTACCAATTCTTAGCTCAAATGGGAGAGAATTCTGATTTCTCCTTAGATCAGTAACTGTTAATCCTTGACTGAACAGAGAGTTGTAATGTGAGAATAAAAATAAAAATCACAACATTCAAATATCGTTATTCTATCATATTCTTCATAGTGGCATCATTAGACTCTTTCTAACTGCAGAGCAGAGCTGCTACAATATTTCGTCTTTTTGGGCTGTCTGGAGTCTGGATAACAGGATGGGTTCCCTCTGAGATAGCACGGTAACCCAAATCCTGCAATCCTGATCCAAGACTTAATAACGAGAGCTCTAAATGTATTCATTTATTTGCTTTCTGTGTGATCTCAAGGCTCTCTGTCTCAATGGATAAAAACATACTTTAGGTCTGTGCCTAATGGGACTTGTAGTTGTATGTCAGGGAGTCAAGAAACGTTAGATCTGGTTAACAACAATCAGTATAATGGCGTTTATATTCTGCTCTAACCTATGAACTGACTTTATATTCTATGCTGTTTATTTCTCTGTATCACAGTTTCCCTTAGTCTTTTTATATCAGTATTTCTCAACTTTTCTCCTTTCATTAGCCTTTCTCTTTGTTTCTGTTTCTGCCCAAGTCATTTTTTAAGTCTCCTCTCCAAGCGCCCCCTCCTTCCCTCGTCTCCTGGCGGAGAGGGTTTTTAAAGATAAGAAGAGCTGGCTGAGTTTGAAGAGGGAACATATCATGTTCTGTGACATATTACCGACACGACAATCGTTTACTAAATACAATAACAGCTTCTTGGAATTCTGAATATGTAGATTAGGTATAGAATAAATGTATATATACAGGATTCTCTGCCAACTAAAAAAATCTGTATCCTAGGAAACGCGTTCTATATAATGGCTCAGATTACATCACTCATTCCTAATTTTGAAATCACATCAAAGACATTATAGACTCCAAACCTACAAAGAAACTTCCTCTAGCAGCCCGGTCCCTGGACAGCTTGAAAAGGATGTGCATTGATTGAAAACTAGCGATTACTTGTTATCTAGGATATTTCTAAACCATTAAAGCTATACTGAGAGGGAATAAAGAATAATTTGTATCATGTAACCAATATCCCACCTTCGTACCCTTCATGTTTGTTCCAACTGTCAATCATAGACAGTTAATGTCTGATGTCACAGTTAGGGGGGCTTTGATGGGTTCCCAATAGACAGCGTCTTTGAGCCCAAGGGAATATTTAATGACTGTTACACTAACAGAGAGTTAGAGATATTTCAGGACATATCCCCACCTTTCTATGTTATATCCTGTCTTCTAAACCCATGAACGGTCTCAATAAAAGCACAGCTGGAAACAAGAACACGCTGCCCAGACAGGTATTCAATGTGACCTGCTTCACTACCAAATAGAAGTGTGTGCAGCTCCCCCTCCCGACTGGGGTTCATCACCTATTAGCAGAGCACTATTCTACTAATCTTTCATATTTTAGCGGTAGAGCTAAGGCTAGGGGTAAGGGTAGAAGTTGGGTTAGTGGAAGGTGTAGGAGTTAAGGGTAGAGTTAGAAATTGCCGAAATCCAGAATTGCCAAAGCCCCAAATTGCCGAAGTCACGAATTTCGGAAGTCCCGAACCGAAGTGCCGAATTATTGCATTGCCGAAGTGCCGAATTTCGGAAGTCCCGAACCGAAGTGCCGAATTACTGCATTGCCGAAATGCCGAATTTCGGAAGTGCTGAAGTGCTTTGGATTTCTGAAAAGTGGCAAAACAAGAGAGGGAGGGAAAATTACGTGAATGATGACAGGAATCTAACCCTAACCCTACCCCTAACCCTAGATGTGTAAGTGGTTGTGGTGGTTAGGGTTAGGGGTAGAGGTAAGTTTAGGGGTAGGATTACAGGTAGGAGTAGGGGTAAGGTTAGGGTTAGGGAATTGCCGAAGTCCCAAATTTAAGAAGTGCCGAACGGAACTGAAGTGCCGAATTGCTGAACTCCCGAATTCCCGAAGTCCTGAATTTTGGAAGTGCCGAACCAAACCAAATTTTTTTTGCCCATGCACATCCCTACAAATCGCATTAAAAAATTAAATAATCTATAATACACATGATAACCCAATTAGATTAAACACTGGGGAAACATGGAAAAACGTTACGTCTTGAACAACAATATATAGCGCAATCTAAAAGCTAAAACTGTAGCACATGGATTCCAGAGAAAGCAGGATACAGAGGGACTAAGCTCCAAATGTTATGATCTAATGTCTAAAGATATAATTTGTGTCCCATTCCATATTAAGGCCTAGTGGGAATCTTGTCTGTAGAGTAAGTATCCAGAACATTTCATTCTTAAGTAAACGTTTCTCCAAACATCCCCCATTGGGCCCAATCTACATTTCTGAATTCCTTAAAAAAATAAATTTGACAGATCAGCAAACAGTACAGGATTTAAAATGTCTTGATACTGGGGTTTGTTTCATTGTGTCATATTTCTTACTCTGGATATGTTCAGCTATCCTAATCTTTAGCTTGTGTTTGGTTTGCCCTACATACTGTTTATTGCAGTTTTTACAGGTTCTGTAGAACAATGAATACAATCTTTTATCTCATATTCAGTTTTAGTGACAGAAATGAAATGTGCAATAATTAAATCTCTTCTGTCGTTTGGTAAGTATTAGAAAGAAGAAGACATAGAGACAAAAGGGATTGAGCGATTTCGTTCTTTTTGCTGAACTATGAAATTTGGTATCACAGATCTTTCTGTAGAAAGAGTCTGACCTTAGGACAGGAAGGTGTTTACGTATAATACGGGTGATGAATTTGAATTGGTTGCTGTAATCTGTGCAGAAATATGGGGGACTTTCCATATTTTTTAAATGTAAGAGATGTTGAATTAGAGGTATTCCTAGATTTAGGTTTCAATAATGTGCTTCGTTTGCTAGCTCGTATTTTTCTCCAGACTTTCTTTATTTGTCGATCTGTGTATCCCCTATTACGTAGCCTGTCATCCAGTTCTTTTGCCTGAGATTGAAATGTATCATCTGTTGAACAATTCCTGCGAAGCCTGAGGAATTCTCCTAAGGGGATCACATCATGGGGTCTCGCCTTCTTTGCCCACCCTGGACCCAAGTCCTAGATCCAGCTCCCAGTGGACAGACCGCTCCTCCAGAGAGTATAGCAGAATAAGAGCAGGATAGCTGTCCACTCCACACATGAGTCAAGGCTTAATGCTGGGAGTAGACTGTTTAATGCAGGCAACCACTCTCAATTTAAACACACATTGTAACCCCCAACAGCCTAATTTACATACAATAGGGTACATAGAGCACTATAGTACAAGGAAGGGTGGGGTCAGACTATTGTCCCCACCAAGGGCTGATGGGAGATTGAGGAGGGACAAAGCAGCCAGTTTAAACTGATCTGGCAGTGTACCTGGGACAACATTCTGCTAGGGAAAAAATAGGACAGGAAAAAGGGGGAGGGGAGAGGCACAGACAAGCAATACATTCAACATACTCCTCCTCTGTGCCTGAGAGATAATTGAGTCAGGAACTGTACAAACTCAATTATCTCCAGGTACAGAAAAACACACAATTTCACAATACCCCAAAAGTACCCCTAAAATACATGGAAACCCCTCAAGAGTCACATCCCCAGATAGCTCTGATCTGAGTGACTATCATATCCAAAAATCACTCAGATCGGTTCAGTGGTTCGGCTTTCCCATGGAAGTCAACTTTTAACATGTCTTTTTACATGGCCCATAGTCTTTGGGCAGGAGGATAGCCAGCAGGCCCCTCCAGGAACACGTGGCAGAGACATCTTTGGCAAAAATGGTGTTGCCAGCTGTTTTCTTTCTAAAACCTGCTGTTATATTTGTCTTATAGATAGAGTTGCCTTCCAAGCTAAGATCATGGAAATTTATTTAAAATTGTTGTGTGTTGTTGGTAAAATACAGATTCCACTCTGGACTGGGAACATTCCTCCTCTCCCCCTTCCCAAATGTAAAGAAGGTTGTCAATGTACCTTCCATACCATATAATATTGGATCTGAACACGTCATTCTCCCCAAAGACGTGGCACAGCTCCCACATACTCATGTACGCGTTGGCATAAGAAGGGGCAAATTTCGCTCAATGGCTGTGCCACATCTTTGAAGAAAAAAAAGGTTCCATCAAACATGAAATAATTATGCGTGAGTGCATAAGAAAGACCATCTATAATGAACTACCTTAAATCATCTGTGAATGTTGAAAATCTCATTAGAAATTCTGAGATTGTACTAATGCTGAGCAATCTGAAGAAATCCTTCCATTCTATTTGCTCCAGTTGAATTAGAACATCTGTGGAATCTCGAAGAAAACCTTTGGCTCCCTTAATTACAAGTTGTAGTTGGAAATCTCTCTCCCAAAGATCCGATGGGACGGCCAGGGGGATCTATCCTAGATTTGTGGATCTTCGAGAGATGGTAAAAAATGGGTTTAAGCATGAAATCTTTTTAATTATTAAAAATGAGGCCCATGGATTTCCCATAAGAAATTAGATGGGTGAGAGTTTCACTAAATTTGCTAGTAGGGTCACCAAGCAGTCTGACATAGGTTGATAACTGTCTGAGTGCCTCCTTCTTATATTTTTTCAGGATCCATAACCACAATGTCCCCCCCTCCCTTATCAGACTGCTTGATGACAAATGACGTGTCACATTGTAAATCTCTCCTGCTTAGATAAATTAGATATAAATCTCTGTCTGTCCAGACCCTTCTTAGTTTTACTTTTCATGTATAGATCCATTAGATCTTTCTCTATCAATTTTTGGAATAAATTCTCTTCCACACCCCTACTCGAGAGTGGATAAAAGTTGAGGGTGGTTTTAAATTTGAACATCCACATGATCTCATTGACAAAACTAATTGATTTTCCTGTTCCAGTTCCTCCTGATCTGTAACTAAACAAATATCTTGGAAATTGTGATTAACAGTGGGGGGAGCAGTACTAAAAGATTCCATTTGATCATCCGTGCTGAGATTCCTATAGGTGGCTGAGTATGGATGTGAGTTCCCTATACTCCTCTATACCACACAAGAATGGTCTATGTGCAGTTTCAGAATTTCTTAGAAAATTTTCAACATACCCAAGTGACATGAGGGAATTTATGTCAGATGGCCTTTTCTATGCATTAAGTCACAATTGTTTTTTGTTTGATGGAACCTTTTTTTCTCCAAAGACGTGGCACAGCTATGTGGGCCTAATTTGCTCCTTCATACGCCAATGTTTATATGATCATGTGGGAACTGTGCCATTTCTTTGGAAAGGACAATATTTTTAGTTCCAATGTAGTGTGCTATGGAAGGTATATCGATGAGCTCCCATTTATTTGGAATGGGGGGGAAGGGGGGGTAGGGGGTGGGGGTGGATATGGTTTTCCTATAGTCTGAATAATCCAGAGGGGAATCTTAGCTTTACAAACAATATCCAACAGGTTAAAAATTATTTTCTGGATCTCAGGGTGGAGGGAACTGTTGCCGGTAAGATGATCATCACAGGAGGTTTCCGAAAACAAACAATGAGCAATACCGTCTTAAGGGCAGGCAGTTGCCACCCATCCCACCCATTTAATGCCATCCCATCAGGGGAATTCATTAGGCTATGTAGGAACTGCTCGACGGATGACATCTTTCAATCGCAAGCAGGGGAGCTTAGGAACCATTTGCGTACAAGATCATGAGCCAGGCAAGGCCTAGGCAGAACATGGACATGTGAGTGTGAGGGTAGTGTATACAGAGGAATGTGGTAAACTGGTCCTGGAACAGAGGAGTGGAGTAGTAAGGGTAGGTTGCCATCTTACAGTATATCAGCCATATTAATTATCAGTTGGTAACAGCTTCCCGCCCTCCCTCTCCTTATTTGTTTCATGTTTATTTGTCTGTGTGTTTTGTCTGTC